AATATTAATTTTTTTTTCTTCCGTTAAAAAAAAAATAGAGTTGTGATACCATAAGTAGCCTATTTATAATACATTTATTATTATATTATTCCAATGCCCATCTAGTTATGCCGATAATAGATTTTATTTATGGCTATTTGATAAAGTTATAGCAAAAAAAACAACTTTCTTTTTTCTATTTTCTACAAAAATAAGATGTTATATTTTATTAAATTTAAAATGTTGGAATATATGTTCGTATCATTTTTTTTTATAAATCATAGATTAGGTCATAGATGCCAGAGATGCCCTCTAATATGGATGCGAGAGGACGGAAATTTTAGGTCTTTTAGTCAGACCCGCCATATTCAAAATATGAGTTGCGGAATTTTTTGATGATCATTATTTCTTTAATTTTATTTTTAAACCTTATTTGTCGATCTATTTATAACACTTCGTCGTTATTGATTCAATATCATAGGGTTGCATTATTGGTTAAAGATGGTGTTTCCGATTTTAAACTTCGGACAATAGTTCAAAATTTTTCTGCTGTCATCAACATTCAATTTTTGTAGGGTGGCATTGCCGATGACGTTACCGCTAATGTATTCTATTTTTTCTCCGATTTTTGTGTAGCAAAAAAAGTAACAGATACTTAATAAAATTTGAATGATATTATACAGTTGATTTTTTAATATTCATTTATTTATTATTAAATTTCATAAATAAACTAGATATATTTTATTAACTACTTAGCAAGATTATTTAATTTTTTTTTGATTTCGCGAGACATTTGGTCGCGTTATTTTTCACGGGGCAGAAATTCATTTAACGGGACTGAGTAAAGTGAGACGTATGGCTGATTAGGTCAACATACATTATCTATTATGTTATTTAGTGACAAGGGGGACTCAGCATTCTTGGTTTAGGGGGGGGGGGGTCTAGAAAAAAATAACTTCACTACGTATAGAAGGTATTCTGAAGCAATATATTTGCTAAAATTGACGGGGGAAGGGAGTAGGAGGGGGTTAGGGCTTAAATCGCTATGATTTATGTGAGGTTTAGTCTCTGATAGGTTGTATTAAATAGAAGCCTTTTTATTTACGTCGAACCTATTTTCCAGCATTCAGAACACTTTTTTAGAGAAATTCTAATGGAACAAAAAAATTTACAAAAAAAAAGAAATAAAGAATTAAATGGAAACAAAAAAAACATCGAATACAATTTGGTAAAAGAATGCAATAGTCATTAAAATTAATTTCTAAAAATCATTTTGTAAAAAAATAATAAAAAAAGATTATTTTCAATTATATTTCCGCTTCGTTTGAGAGATTATCATTTTTATAAAAAAATTGACCAGTTGTTCAATAAAGATATCTCGAAATTTTTTTTATATAATTATAATTGACGGAGAATATTATTAAATCAATTTGGTATTAAAATGTTCCATGTGTACCCCCACTCAACACTTTTATTTCCATTTAAAAAATGTAAGTGGGTTATCTTTACTTTATAAATAAAATTATTTCCCCTTCCTTTCTTTTTAAGATTACATTTTGATATAATTTTTTAAAAAATATAGAAATTCGTTACTTAATTCTTTTTAATCATAAATGCTAAATTATGCTTGAAATATTTTTTTTAAATAAAGAATTAAAATTTATATACATTTTAAATCGATATTCTTACATAAATAATTTAATTAACTACCAAAATTTTTCAATTCATTCTTTCTTTATTATCCTAGTTACGACACAGGCTCATAAACGAATTGTCTGTTCTCGTAAATATCATTTTAAGCTAATAAAAATCCCTCCCCCCCCTCCCAAACACCCCCCCCCCCTCCCAATGTATACAATATATCATTATAAGGAAGAATTTGTAAGAAAAATTAGTATAAAAAGTTAATAATTTTTTAAAATAACTAATACTAATAATTCAAAATTTTTAGAAAAAAAAAAGTGAAAACTCAAAAATTATTTTTTGTAAAAATCTAATGTAACCAAAGGTCCACTACAATAAGTGTACCTAAAAGATCTCCAGTAAAATTTTTGGAGAAAAAATTTATCTAATAGTGCTTATCCATACCCACCCCTAGTTTTGTTAATTGGTTAATTGTGTAAAACACAGCCCAGGGGTTTGGGTCTAAAAATCGACCAAATCAGCTCTGAGCAGGAACCCCGAGCACAGATCCGAGGTTCAGACCCAGGGTCTTGACCCACTTAGCAAAATCCTGGATAACGTCTATGCTACGACATAGTCTTTGCATTTTTTTAAATAGAAAATATTTAAATTTTTGAGTAGCTCAGTATTTGGGAAGAGCGGAAGGGGGTTAATTTTAAATTGCCAAATTCTAACTTATGAACTATTTTTCATTTTATGACCCCCCCCCCCTTTATATCTAGAAAAAAATAATTTAAAAAAATTTATGGAAAGAAAATAATGTAAAAAAATACACTGAGAGAAAACCCAAATATTTAAATATTCCAATCTATTGGTTTATCTAAATTTTGGGATTACATCTCAGCTGCTAAGAAACCATAAATTATAATTTCGTTATAATTAATTTTCTTCCTTTTTTGAACTTTTTAAAATAATGCTATAAATTCGTCAAATTTCAGAATATTTTATAATGATTTCCAAATCTACAAAAATGCAAATTTTATCATTTTATATTTTAAGAACAAATTTTATAATTTATTGTTCATGTAAAACATTTTTTTAAAATATAATTATCTTATTTTGTGTTCGTGACATAGGGAGGTAATAAAGTATAACTTTGAGGTTAAATGAAACTTTCCTATTGGTTGAAAGTAGTGATAAACCAATACAATAAAAAAAAAGAAGATGTTTTATGAGGAAATCATTTGTCAATAAATCAAACACTGCATTCCGTGCAGTCCCGATAAACTAGTGAAAAGGTATTATTTCACACTAAAACTCCCTAAAGCCGATGCGCAAATATAAAATGATAATTAAGTAGAGAATATTAATATAATATAAAGATCGATACAATATTTGAAAAGTTGTTCGACCTGGCCACTAAATTGTATTATCTGGTCAGGCTAGAAAAATAATTTTGTACAACTTGTCAGGCTCATCCAGTAATAATTTTTTTTTCATAATTAGAAAAGGCATAAAGTTGTTTAATGATAAGTTTAAAAAAAAATTGGCCAACTTAAATCCCAGCTCGTAAAAATATTTGAGCTAATTATCGCTAGTGTTGTTTATTTAAAAGGACTAACTCAATATTTTAGCCAGAAAAATATTTGCCCAACATAGAATGATCAAATCTTTGAGCCGCCCATGAGCAAAATCTTAAGGCTAACGTAATATTTTTTTTCGGGATAGAATATTGAGTTCCGTCATTTTTTAAAAATTGCCTCACGTCAACGGCATAAAAACCTTTTTACCCGAGCTGCGCTCATCACCTCTACTTATGATTTTAATGGTAGATGAAAGATTAATGAAAAAAAATGGGTTCGTTAGCAAATATAGTTAGGAATGTTCTGAAATTATTGCTAAGATCGGAACGGAACAAGATCTAATCAGTGGCTTTACCCTTTACAATCTTGGGGAGAGGGGGAGGCTCATTTTTAGATATTCTAAATTTTTTTTGGCTAATATTTTTAAAAAATGATATCCTTTTTTTTATTACTAAATGACCCTTATTTCGATATTTTTAAAATAAATTCAAAATTTACAGAGGGCTCTTTAAATTTTTAAGCGGGTTTTTGAGCCCCTCCCACCCCACACCCCTACTCCAATGATGCTACTGAATTCCCTACTTCCAGATCCACTGGTAAAATATAATAAAATATTTTTTAATTTTTTTAAAAAAAAGCTTGAGAATATTTTTTTTAAAAAAATTAACAGAAATATTAATTTTAAAGACTTATTTAATTAATAATCTTGAAATATTTTGAATAATTTTATTGCTAAAAAAAATAATTAATGACTATTAATTAATAAGGTATATGGTTTTAAAATATTATGAAATCCACAAGAAAGAAGGCTAATGAATTATTCTCTTGTATTATTTATTCTAGCATAGCAACCAAATCTGTAAGATAATGAAGGTATAGTACATAGGAAAAAATAAAATACAATTTATAATTTTTTCAAAAATATTTTAAAAAAAAAATAAGTGGTATCATAAGGATACCACTTACCCCAGCCTTATCGTGGTTTATCATTTTTAAAAAAAAAAATGAATTAATAAAGGACGTTACAATTGATTGAAAATCTGCTTACAGTTGAATTTATTTATTATATATAAAATGATTTAAATAGGACTCTTCCTTTTACAAATTGCAAATACAACATTATAATAATAATTAAAGCAACTTATATACATATTTTTATACACGAAAGTGGGGGGTTAAATTAAAAATTATTTTGTGCAAATTCCTTTAAACCATTCATCATTGATTAATATTCACTTCCAAACAAAAAATGATATATTTTGAAAAAAAATGACATTTTTTAAATAGTATATCGAGCTTAAATTTCTACCTATAATCCTAAGTTTTTCTTTCTTTCTTCATGTATTTCCTTTCTATCTTCTTTTCCTTATTCTTTCTTTCATTTTTTTTAAAAAAAATTTAATCAGTCCTCAAATCATGTTCAGTAGGAAAATAAAACCAATATATCGTCGGCCTAGAATTGGAGTGCTCCCCTTGCGCAAATGTTTAAAATGAGAAAATCAACATTAAAGTTTAAAATCAAAAAGTAGGAAAAACCTTATTGATCAATTTTGACAGAGCTATAACTTTGGCAAAAATTAATATTTCTTAATCTAATTTATATATATTTTATATTGAGAATAAATAGTTATTATACAATTCTAAATCAAAAATTTTGAAAATGTCGAGTGGAGTACTCCAATTCTGGACCAAAAAAAAATATTTCTAATTATCTGTCAAAATTTCATCTTAATTTTACTTTCATAGAGAAATACCACTATAACTTTTAAATTACAGTATTTAAAATCTATAAATCTATCCATATTTTATCTTTACCCGTTGAGTTAGCGAATTTTAACATCACAAGGAATGACAGGATTACTATATATCTAAGTTGTTCCCATTTACGAAAACTAATATCGTTAGTGATATTATGATTGGTAGATTTGTTCAAATAATACATATTTTGGTGGGGTTAGGCAGGCAGAGTAGAAGTTCGGGCTTCTAAGAAAATGTTATCCTGACTGAATATTTCTGAATCCATTTAATACTGATTCCTCTCTTCTTGTACATAGAAAAAAATAAAATATGATATAGCAAAAATTATTTTTTTTTATTATTAATTTTAACAAATTTTTTTAATTTATCTATAAAAATGCCTTTTTTTAAAAAAAAAATGTTACATTTAAAAAAATAAATATTAAATATAATTTTGCGGGAAAAAAATAAAAATAATATTTTTTTAAAAAATTGATAATAAATAATGGAAATATTATATTTTTTTTAAATATAATTATTACATCTATATATGCTATTATTTTTGGTAATAATAATGATAATAATACGTAAATTAATTATTATTTAAAAGAAAATAAATGGGTCAGTTTTCTATATATGTTAAAAATCAGAGAAGAGAAGAGAAGAGAAGAGAAGAGAAGAGAAGAGAAGAGAAGAGAAGAGAAGAGAGAGAAGAAGAGAAGAGAAGAGAAGAGAAGAGAAGAGAAGAGAAGAGAAGAGAAGAGAAGAGAAGAGAAGCTACACTATCCATTTGGCGTCGCTTATAAAGGGCAAAATGTACTAATTTCTTCTATATGTAAAAGGTAGGCACAAAAAATATTTACTCTCAAGCAAGTTTAAAATGAGAGATAGCAGGGACTCTCCTCATATATTATCCAGAAGCCTACTAAAGAATTATACCTTAAATCATAAAAATAGTGATATTCGAATTCGCGCATTCGATTAGACGAATATTTGATTAGAAAATTGTGTTCTTTTATAAATATTTCAAAAAAAATGAATTATTAATTTTTTTTTTAAATATAGAGGATTTAACGCAAAAATAATAAAAAGTTCCGCAAGGAACCCATTAAATTATAAATAATTCAGGTAATTTGAAATTATCTGAATAATTCGATTGAATGAGGATATAAAATTATTCTACGAATAAAATATATTTTGTATTCGTTAAAATTAACAAATTACTTGTTTTAAAGTTATACGCAGATATCTCAGGTACCAATCGTGGGCCCCTATCCCTATTTATTTGAGATTCTTATTCACAAAATTTTCTTTAATGCTCCAACAGGGTCTAAGATAGTGTCCGATAGAAGTCATTTGCGCTATTCAAGGTTAACACAAAATCTCAAGCCGGTATTTTTTTTTCGTACATGTTACCCTGCCATGTCGGAATAGAGTTGGACCTTGCAGAACTTCACTGCCCCTATACATCATTTCCTTTTACAGGATTCTCTTTATAACTTATAGGTAGTGAAGGTAAACAGTCTTCTTCAAAATCATTCTTCAGGCTGGATCGGTGTGCCAATCACCATAAATAATTCAAATTTTTTTCTTCTTATAAATATAATTATATCTTCACATAAACGGAAAATGATATTGAATTCCTATTTTCTCCTAACATAAAAGGTCATATATTTTTGCATGGTATTTTAAAAAAAAATAAAAAAAATATCCATTATATTATTATTAATATATTATTATCATATTTATGTTGTATACTATGGAATATAAATGTTATATATAAGGGTATATAAACATTAATATCATCAATATTTAAAAATATAAATTAATATCACCAACATGATAATACGAAAATGAATGAGCACAAGATGGACTGGTTGCTCACTTAAGCAGGTTTTTTTAATTTTAATTTTTTTTATCTATTTTGTATTATTATATTTTATTATATTTCAAAAACAAAATTATATTCGCTTCACCCCCACAGGCAAGCATAAGGAACAAACTGGGGTCAACATTATAATGACCGCCTATTTATGATTTATTTTTATATTTCATAATATAATGAATATATATTTTTTTAAATATATATATATAAATTATATAATTTTTTATTTTTCATTGAATATTAAAAAAATTTCGGCTCTTTTATTATCAAGTCACACTAACATTAAGCAAAATTAGTTTTTATTATAAATATTATGTTATTAAAAAATCAATTGATCGGCAAGTTTAGCTCATCTCGTTCCTCAACGCAATTAATTATATGACACTTCTTACCTATTTATAAAAAAAAAATTGTAAAAGTGGGCAAAATTAGTTTATTTATATTGTGTTTGAATCTGTTTTATTAATAAGAAGTTGGGGAAAGCATGTTTTTAATTTTATTGTCTTACTAAATTATTTTGATGAGTAGTTTTTTTAAAAAAAATGGAAGAATTAAAAATTATCTGTCAGAATGCGATATTGGACAAGAATTTGGATTATTTTCCTTTCCCGCAAAATCGGATATGTATAATGACAAATTAAAATAAAGGTATATTCTGATTTGGCAAAAAAAAAGAAGTGTTTTTTTTATAATCTGGGTATCATAGGCGTATCCAGGATTTTGGTAAAGGATGGCGGGGAAGCACTGTTAGATGGAGTTTTCCACCATAAATTTTATTGTAGGCCTTTGGCTCTATTAAATTTCCATAAAAAATACTTCTTTTTTTCAAATTCTTCCTTATGATGATATATTTTATACATTTTTGGGGGAAATGGAGGTGGGAAGGGGTGTCGGGGTGAGTAGATTTTCATCAGCTTAAAATGATATTTACAAGAACAGATAAAATTCTGAAGGGAGAATTTCCTCTTGCCCTCCCCCAATCTGATTAAATTTTTCTGGGCATCCTTTTCCTTCTAAGATAAACAAAAAACGATCTATTTTGGGCATTCTTTTCTACCCTATTTTAAAAATAATATGTAAATATTTATATTAAAATTGAGTATTAAAAGAAAACAATTTGATGATTAAATCGAGTGGTCATAAGAAAAGAAAAATTAATTTATGATTAATCTGATATTTAATTAATTATGTTAATTGAAAATTTATCTAACCTTTTAATTAGCTCAGGGGAAAAATGAATTAAATCTCTGAGTGAAGATTTATTTACTTTCGAATTTTTTTGAATTAAATTTACATTTTTCTATCAAACCATTTAATTTATTTAATTTAATTACTAAAAAATTAAAAATAAAATTTATTATTCATTTAACTTTACTTCATTAACTAATATAATCGAGACCTGAAGTTTGATTTAGTTAAAATGTATTCAATATAATGATTTAATTTTTATTATAATTGAAACAATAGGGTATTTAATAGTTTTTTATTAATCAAATTGACTCACTGCCTAAACATTATTAAATTAATTTTTTTTTATTCCATAGCATTACAAATGAATGATGGTCCATTTTTTTTTATGTTAATTTAATATACCTAAAATAATACTAATTTGTATTTATTAAATATTTAGATAATAATTATGGTAAAATTTAATATTTATATTAATTTTAAACTTTATTATAATAAAATAAATTATATATAATATTAATTTTAATCCATCATATGTTAAAAATATAAGAACATAAAATCAAAATATGTAAGGATTATTATATTCAAAATAAAATAAAGTATGGTAAAAGGATTTATAAAAAAAAGTTTGGTTAGCTCCATAGAAAGGAGGCTCCTAATGAAACTGATGTAATTCGATTTAGAATTACAATGGAGAGCATTGCCTAAGGTGAAAACTTTCCCTGGGTTCATCAGTGATTTTACGAATAAGAGAACTTAGTTCCTTGAAGAAGGTTAAAGCACGGCTACCAAAAATGGCTAATGTTAAAGAAGATTATGGATATAAAAATGTATTCATTGCATATTTCCGAATATTTATTAATTTTGTATAGCTCTTTAATGTCTAAGATGATTGTGCTAAGATTTGTAGGGGATCTAAATAGGAATACTCTCAAACTAGAAATTATTTCTCTTCCAAAATGCCATTTGGATGTTTTCCATCAGATCTAAAAGGACCACTAGGTTCTAGGATCGATGGAATCTGCGCAGATTTCAGCGCACGTTGAATAATGGCATTACAATGATTATGTTTGGGAATACGTCCTTTGCATGAACGACAGTGCGGGCTATGTTGTCCCTTCGAATCAACGGGAACATTACATCCAGAACAAACGTAAGGTTGGGTAATTGAGCAATAAAACGGATTCCAATGGCATGAGTAAGTTAATTTTTGGTTAGCTTAGTTGAAGATTAGCATGAGGGATAGCCTCGAGGAACTCGTGCACATAGCTAGGGGTTGCATGCTTGATAGTACAGTTTCGACGGAGTAGGTAACAACAGGGATGTCCCATTCCTTTTGTTTAAAAGTGGCAGGTAAAGGGGCGTCAACAAGTATTTAAGATCTCCATATATCTAATGCCTCAGTGTACGACGGTCCACAAGAGAGTGAGCGATATCAATAGGTTTTGTTAATAAGCAACTTGCGGTAAAAGTTGTTAAAGCTAAATCAGAAGGTGATTTGATGCCAAACCCGCCATATTTTGTTGGGAAAAAAGTTTGAGCTTAAGCAATTTTTCCGAACTTAAAATTTAAGATCTCTTCGGTAAGTTTCCTGATTCCCGTTTCATATATATTCAAAGGACCAGGATATCTAAAATTGGAGTAATTCTTAGAGCGCTAAGAATGAGCGGTATATTAAAAAAGTTTTCAAAAGAAAACATGACATGAGAGGAAAGGAAAGGAAAGGAGGAGAAGGATATCACTCAATTTGATAAGTGTCTCAAGGGTTGAATCCAGAAAAATGTGCAAACAGTTGAGTCGCCTCCAACCGTGGATCTTAAGTGAATTTGTTTATCTTGATTAATGACTTTAAAATTGTGGGAGTTAATTTCGGAATTGTTTAGTAGGATGATATCTGATTTACTTTGATTGAAAATTAACCCTAAAGAAGAGCCGATCACTAAAATTATATCGACCGCTTTATTGACCTCATTGGAGAGCCACAGATTATACCATCATCCATTAACCAAACATCCAAACATGGAGTAAAAGTGAGCAGGAGGCATTGATTGGCTTGATCATATCGTTAATTCCGCAAAATAACAATGGGCCAAGAGGATCATGCTGTTGGATCACTTCTATAGAAGGAATTTTATATGAATTGAATTGTAAAGTGAGGATATTGATACCAGGAATGGAAAAATTTGCTATATCTAGGAAAAAGAGTGCTCGAGGATTTTAAGAGAGAATTCTGAGAGAGGGGAATATTATACAATTTATATATAATTACTTTACCCATGGGAACATTCACTAAAGAAAAAGAAAAATAACGTGAAAGCATTATGGCTGCATTCATAGT